GCATCCACAAGGAAGAACAGGCCATGGTTCGCTGACTGAGCAAGTACAAATCCACCCAACAGTCCCTCCTTGGTATCCCTCCCACTTATTTTTAGGTGTGTGTGTCTGCGTGTGTGTGTCTGTGTTTCAAGCTTGAGTGAGCCAGCTGAGCTGAGGTGTTGTGACCAGACTAAGTGTGTGTGCCTTATATCAGTGTGTCCTCAATCGCTCTCACTGTATGGGGCACTTAAGTCCAAAGGCACACAATACACACATACAGTAGCCACCTGCACACATCTCTGCACACCCACACCCACACAAACTCAGTGTTTTGATGAAAACTCAAGTGGACCAGTGGTTCAGTCAGCCTCCCCACCAACGTCTCTCCTCTCTTTTTCCCTTCGTCTTTCATTGCTTCTTTTCCTGTGACACTTTTGTGCATGTCACGCAACCCTGTGCTCTCTCCTACACACACACACACAAACACACGTGATGTCAGTCTTTCAGCCAAAGCCCTGCACCTTTGTCAAGGGAAAAGCACTTAAGCACGCTCATATACACACACATACTCTGCATCCACGCACATTCGTGTGTGATTTAAGTTTTTTTTTTTTTTTCTTCTTTCACCCTTACAGCTTACACGCACATGCATTTACAAACCCTCGTTCTGAACCGCCTTCCTCTCACCATCTCGTGCCATGCTCGGCTCTCTGGGTCTTGTATGGTCTTGAATGTGCGTGACAGTGGCTGGATTTGGTGAGGGTGAATTAGCACAGCGACCCAGTTTGTTACCAGAGCAGTGGAGGCGTCATATGCCTTTACTGCATACGAGTATATATATATATATATATATATATATATATATATATATATATTTATTACTTGCTTCCATTTTTACAAAAAATTGCACTCACCTTGGAAACCATCTACGAATCTCTCTCCTGTTTCTGTCTAAAACCATTGGTGGTCTTCCTCACACAAAACAATAAACTTGATTCAAACTAATCTTGGTTCAAAAGTGGCTGTTGCACTCAAATGGCTCTGTTGAATATGACAGAAGTCAAAGAAGAAGCCAGAGTGACAGCCAAGTCCTTACATTTTTGATCAACTGATGAACAGTCTGTCACAGTTTAAATGCACCGACTGAATAATTAGCTTTAAATTTGTATTACCTTCACTGAAAATGTTTACCTTTACCTTACTGTGTTTGTTTTGTCTCCTGCTCCAGTTACCATATTTTACGGACTATAGAGCGCACCTCACTTTTAAACTATAAAGTTTAAAAAAACCTGGACATGTACACATATAAGCCGCACTGAGCTATAAGCCGCATGGGTCAAAACATGGGAAAAAAGTAGCAAGCCGAAAAATACAGTACTTCTTTTTGCATTTGGAATCTCCATTTACAACCTTGTTATGGATCATTTTGGCAAAATATGAATGCCTGTAATTTCTTCTCTAGCCTTAACATTCTGCTCCGTTGTGAATGTTCTTCTTGCCACCAGAACCGAGTACAGAAGGATTAATATCAACTGTCAAACATGTATTTCTGTAGCAGTGGTCACATTAATGATCAGTTAATCATGCATTTACCAAGCAGCACCTCACCAACACTCATCCTTCTAATTCATGGAAATGATTTTGCTTGGACTCTTGTGTTTTGGGCTTAGTTTTTGACAGATGACAGCATTTTGTATTGTATTTCACTTGCTGTTCTTCTGATGTTGTAATTATCTAACTTTAAGACCTGCTTCGGAACAGGTGATCATTTATTGTGTCCTGATAAGAGGGGGAGCTTGTGTTTCATGATAACTGCATATGCAGACTATTATCTTTGAAATACACGTTGATGCTTTTAAAACTGCTTTGACATAAATTGCTAACTTTTGCTATAGAGAGAGGGCGTTTTCCACCGGGTTGAGGTGGGCGACGACAAGCAGAGATTTATGAGGCAGCAGGAGACGGAGCAGACGGAGCGGGAGGGAAAGCGGAAGGAGAAGCCGACACTGCTGTGCTCCATGTCTTGTTCAGCTCGTTTAGCTGACAAACTACTTTTAGGTTTTAATTATCCATCGCTCTGTGATTAATAGTTTTTAATTACTGTAACCAATGACAATTGTGAAATATATTTAAGACTCTAAATGAGGCTGGATAATCACAATAACAGAAAAAAAAATCAAAAAGGAGAAATTCAAAATCAGAGGATAACAAACAAAATTTAATTTTGAGTAAATGTCCTTTTTAAAGCGGGATGAAAAAGCATCAGAAGCTAAAATGTTCTCAGTATTTACTGACTTCAGAGAGATGTTACTGGAGGCTTCAGAAAAGCTATTGACCGGACCTTGAACCTCTTTACCTAAGTAATCTATTTTTTTTTCCTACATCATCCTGTTCCACAGCTTCAAACAGACTTTTTGATTCGTAGGAAAGGTTAAAACCTTTTTTAAATTCATGTGTTGCTTCAAAGGCTTTTTGCTGTGAGCAGACACTGCTGCTCATGCTCACAGCATAGAGGAAGTCTTCAGACAGGTGAATGGAGTAATTGATGCTTACACAATCATATTGTCACTGAGAAAACAGAATGCTTGAGAAGTTCAGCCGGTTCAAACTAGTTTTTCTTCTTTTTTTTTATTTCCTGGCGTTAAGATGTTGGGCTGAAGCTAAGCTCTGGCAGATAAATACCTTCTTGACCTTGTCATGAACTTTACCTCGCTGTGGGCTATTTAGGTGTTCAGTTGTGCATACAGGTAGGAGTTTTATTTAAATGAGCAGGACAGTGGGTGTGCAGCACAGAAACAGTAACAGTTTCTGCAAAAGCAAACTGTGTGCTTTATGTAGGCAGTGGTCATTTTGCCTCTTCACCATTTGATGCTTTATTAGATTTGGAAATCTTACTGAGCTTTTTGTAAGATCTACATTTTTACCGAACAATTGTAAGCATCGACCCACCAAGGTGACATTTTGCACTTGCTATGAAAACCAATGATTTGAATTAATGTTTAAGGGAAACATTTTTTAGACTCCAATTGACTCTTTGCAAATGCAAACAACCCGCTCCACCATGACAGACATTATAAAATCCTATGTGCGCCTGAAAAGACTGTCAAAAACAGACACCTTTGCTTAAAGTGTAAGATCATACATCTTGCTGTCTTGTTCTCTAGCAATGCCTCACTGACCTAACTTCATGGTCCAAGACTTTGTTTTTGTTTTTTGTTTTTTTTAATTGATTTTGGCAATAAAATCACCACATCTTTTTTTATGTAAAGAGGATTTAAAATAAATAAATAAACACTTTTGGGAAAAAGATGACTTATTTTAGGAAGTTCATTAATGGTAGAATGGAGCAGAAGATGGATTAGCTCCATTTAATCAACATTATCAGCATTGCTCTGATCTGTTGTGGTTAAAAAAAAAGGCTGTAAAGCAAAGCTTCCAGTTGACCAATTTATGAATATTCTGACTCTTACCCGATCATCATGTGATCATGAACTAAAGACCAAAGTCCTATATAAAAATGGCAGTAATTACAACATCTTTGTGTGCACGCCATTGTCTCATTCAGTTCAAAATAGTACACAGAGTCCATCTTTCCAAAAGAAAACTATCTCGTTTTTATCCAGAAGTCACCCCATACTGCGACAAATGCAAAACTGCCGTAGCCACACTGGTTCATATGTATTGGTCCTGCCCCGCTCTGGGTCACTTCTGGAAAGATGTCTTCCATACGATGTCTGGTTTGGCCGTAGTGGTGGTGACACCTGGCCCTCTCTTGGCCCTTTTCGGTTTTAGTGGAAAGGAGTTGCCTTTACCGGCTTCTAAACGAAGGGCAATGGCATTTTGCTCACTGCTAGCGAGGCGCACAGTTCTGACCAGGTGGAGGGGTGCTGCTCCTCCTACTCATAAACAGTGGATATGTGACCTTATGTCATGTCTGAAACTGGAAAGAATTAGATGCTCTCTTCAACACTCAACTGGTAAATTTGAAGAAACATGGGGGCCCTTTCTCAACTCTTTTCAAAATATGTAATGATGTTCCAGATCAATTATTTGATCAAAATTTGTTCCATTCTTGACAGGGATGGGAACGTAGTGCATTGGCCTTCTGAGCAGTGACCTTGGTGGGCTGAATGGGATTAAGTTGAGGGATTAATTAACCTTTTTTTTTTGTTTGTTTTTTGTTTTCTTTGTTTTTTTTTTTCATATATTATTCTATGTCGGATAAACACTTCTTTGTATTCGCAAACTGTATGTATGAATGGAAAGAAAAAACCTCAATAAAAATACAGTGATTAAAAAAAATGGCAGTAAGGAGTTTTCTCTGTATGCTGACTGATCTCAGGCTTAGAGACAGCAGAAAGCACTGCGTCCTCCAGCAGGAGGTCGGAATAGAGCTGCTGCTTTAAAGGAGTCAGTTGAAAAGGTAGCAGCATCTACCAGGATGATTCCTGTTCAAGGCATTCACCTTTTGGTAGGAGACCTTGTTAGATTATGTTGGAGAGAGTAAATGACCAGGGAGAGTGATGTCTGGATTTTCCTTCTGGACCTTCACCCCATGACCTGATTGCAGATGAACAAAAGACAGTGAGAGGGTAAAGGGAAGTGGACAATTTGCAGACCACTTTCTCAGAAATTACAGAGTGGAAAAATCCTTCCGTAATGACCCGCTGTGGAGACTAAACCTGCCTAATGAATGAGATCACAATGGGAAGCCTTTGTTTCACATTAGCCACAATAAGCAGGTGGGTCAAGTGGGAGGTGAACTACTTTTGGAAATAGTCCAGTGTGAGATCAGCCTCAGTTGAACCTTCCCATCTGTTCAGTTCACTCCACAGCCATGACTAATGAATCACCAACAAATGCACAAGGCCCCTGAATCAGTCGTGTTCTTCCGGTTCTCTCTTCTCTGTTTGACGCAACAAATGCAACAGAATCTACAGTATGGATCAGTTTTCCATGCAGAATTGATCCAAATCGAGCAAATCCACAAAGAGAGCAGGAATAAATTTGATCTGACTTACCAACACAGGAGTCTCTGTGCTCTTCAAAGCCGGCTGAGCACACGCACCGTCCAATGGGCACCAGCCACTCGCCCTCTGCGCTGCAGTACATCTTAGGGGTATCTCTCTCCTCAGCGTGGTCAACACACTGACCCCTGACCTCCACCAGCGAGGATGAGTCGGCCCCTGTCACTACATCCGTGAAAACTGCCAAGTTGCGGCTGACGCCCACGCAGCGCTTGTAGTAGACCCGGACCGAGGTGAGGGCGATGCAGGCGCCGATGTCCTGGAAGGCCAGGTAGAAACCCCGTCTGTTCAAAGGGCCCACCCCTCTCACCTGCCCAGAGAGGAGTTAGTGAATACAAAGTTCAACAACAAAGTTCAACAACCTTACATCTTTCTTCTGTTTTCACTTTTCAGATTTTCAAGCAAACTCTAACATCAGACCAAGATCACCTGAATAAGTGCAACGTAGAGATTCAACACGATATTTTCAGTGATTACAGAAATGAAAATCTATCCAAACCACGCTCAGCCTGTATGGGTTAGGATTAGGGTTAATCTTAAATTAGCAGATTAACAAACATATTTTGGAACGCTCAGCTCAGTGAAATGATGATTAACCATCATTAACCATCATTGCTTGTGATTTTAATCATAAAATCACAAGCTATTGTAGCATCTGTCTGCACCTGAGGAAATTGAAAAGCAGCAAATCATCTAAAAAAACTTTAAACATTGAGGAACAAAAGGTCAAAAAATTGCCAATGGTGGTGACTGTGACAGGAGTTCCTGTAACAAGTGGGCTCCTGGTTCAAACCCTGTCTGTCTCGGTCATTGAACTTCACCCGCTTTGCCTGCTGGTGGTGGTCAGGGGGCCCAACAGATGGCGCTGGTGCATGGCAGCTTTACCATCTGCACCAGGGCAGCTGTGCTACTATCAAGTAGCTTAACATTGTCAATGTGTGAATGTGTGTGTGAATAACTAAATGTATTGTGAAGTGCTATGGAGTCCACCAGACTTCCAAATGTTACTCGAGTTCAGGGAATTTACCATTTAAACACCTTGTCAGATTAATAATTCAGTTACACCAAGAACAAAATCAGTGTTTAGGAGCGGCCATCACAAAAACAGCACTGTGAGTAGTCAGTATGACCAGAAAAGGACTGTATCATGATCAGTTCATTCACTGCTCTGTAAACTGACCCATGCACTGTGGGAGGGAAGCTTAAAGTTTGAGATAATGTCTTCTACCGTAACTCTGAGTTCAGAAAAAAAACAGCTGAACTTACCGGGTCTTAATAAAAAACATGTTAATTATGTTTACAACGTTTCTTGCACTGGATTTTATGGAGATTATGGTAAGTGTTCTGAAAAACTAAGTTTTCATTGTACTAGTTTTAAAAACTGTTTGCCTTTTTCTGCTACACACTGATAAACTATGATGTGCTGCTCCATCACACAAAGTCTTTAGAGGAAAAACTGAAATTTCTGACCAATTGTGAGTATCTGCCCGTTCTTTACATCCAATCGTTTCACTTTGCTTTCAGATTTGTGTATCTGAAGCACACGGACGCTGCTGCAGAGGGCTTCCAAGATTTTGCTCAACAAATAAAAAATCCAATTGGTTTACTCACTGTAAGTATGGTGTATGCTTTAACACTTTTAAAAAGCATGACAACATTTCAGAAGACGGTGTGGCTTCACATTATGTGCACCAAAATCAACACATTTCAAAAGGCATTACTTTTCTCATGTCTGAGTGTGTGCAGAAAATCAGCTTTGCAGGATAAGGTTGGTGATTTTATTTTTCGCTGTGAAGAAATCAGACTTTAAGTGCTCCACCACAGAAGCATTAGGCGGCACTTATACATGCCAGGGATCTAACCTTAACAGGAGTAAATGGGACATTTCTTGGGAACTATTTTTGTGGGTGGATTAATCCACTTTTAAGTGAGAAATTCTCATGGCTCCTCTGTTGTATGTGGGACTGAATAAAAATAAACCATTTAGGAGTGCGCACACACGTGCGTGTGTGTGTGTGTTTGTGATGGATGAAGAAACATATTGCCACGGTAGGTCTGAAGAGTTTTTAATAGTTCAGTGGCAACACTGGGAACTCTGAGAAACCGCTCAATACATCAGGCTTGAGATGATCTATTTGGATTCTCATTTTAATAAAACAAGCATTAAGAAAAGAAATATTGGGACATGCAACAGAAAACCTCCACATTTCTCATGTTAAATTGGTAGTGGAAGAAAAGGAAGATGCTAACCATATATTAAAAGCCAGATTATTGGAATAGTTTGACTAACTTATCTCTACTTGAGTCTAAAGATTATAAACTACAAATCTTCTCTGCAACAATTTGTAGTGTTTCTATTGTATTAAATTTGAAGCTATGAGACAAGAAGAGAGTCTTCAGGATATTTTTTCATTGTAGAACAACTAAAACCAACAACAATATTACAACATTTTCTATTAGGGATGGGCAAGATGGCAAAAAAAATAAATAAATAAAAAAATCAAGCCCACTTATTCCCTACATTTCTGGTGTCAATGTGAATGAACACTGTTTTCTGCTGAGCAATTTCCTCTGCGAGTCAATGCATCAAAGAAAAAGCGTTGTAAAAGTTTTCCTTTGTGTGTCTGGCGAACACATCCAGCTTCAAAAGGAAACTTTTTTTTTTACATTTTCTTGTTTCTTTGCAGATGGGAAAGAGGGAGTAAATTTCCACCAAAATCATTTTTGAGATCTAGCTCAGAAATTTTCTAGAAGAAATAAGGCAATTTCCAAAATGTTCCCCAAATTGTCCACTTTTTAAACTCAAAGGTCAAATTTCCAAAAGTGAATTTTTTTTACTTTAGATACTCAGAAATTTTCAGTTTCATCTCAGAGATTTTGTAGAAAAACATGGAAATTTATATTTTATTCCTAGCAAAAATTCAACTTTTCAAACTCAAAAATTTTCTGTTTTGTTTTTTAAAATTTCTAAGCTCAATTTAAACATTTCTGAGGTTTATGTCAGAAATTGTGTGTCTTTTTATCATATTTATGGATCTAAAAATGCCCCCAAGTGGTCAGATCAGCCAAATCAGTCATAAATATGGCAAGCCAAGTCACTTCAGAGAATCTTGATAAACACAGACAAAGCATCTTCATAGTGTGACATGAGATGCTGCAAAATGTGAGCAGCAGTCATGTAAATGCATACAGTTCATACCTCAGTGTTGAGCTTCAGTCTGCGGACCCCCAGGTCCACGCCTGTGAAGCTCTCGTCTGCAGCAATGGTGTCGATCTTAATGAACTGGTTCTCCCGTATGGCCGAGCCCACGGCTCTGTCCGACTCATAGTAGAACAGGTTGAAGGTTTCCTGGACAACGGACACAGTGACAACAATCTGTGAGTGTGTGGTCCTGTCAGTGAACCCGGTTATGACTTAATAAGTAAAGAATGATTTATGTTTGATCATGTTTCAGAAGAAATGTTGTGTTGAGTTTTCCATAATCCAGTGGAATGCTTTTTCACTCTGAGTACCCTAAATGTTAATTATAAAAGGTGATTTAAATTTTTTATTTTTTTTTTGTACAGTCAGAATCGTCAAACGTTGGAAAATTCATTAGGTAAAACATAAATTCACACCAAACTTTTCTGATTTTTATTTGCCCATGTTATTGAAAACTGTGTCCTTTTCTTTGCTTAGGCAACATTTTAAACATCGAACACAATAAAAAACAACAATGAAATAAAAGAATTGACATAGATAAATATTTTGGTTTGGGGAAGGGGGATTTCATCTACCAGCCTGCTTAGTTTTGGACCGTGGGGAGAAGATACAAACCCTAAAGAGAGAAACTCTGAGTCAGGATTAAACAAGCAACTATTAGCCACAGTGCTAACCATCAAGCTGCCAGTAAATAAACATATATCTGTATAAATATTCACAGCTGATGAAAAACATACATCCGCAGCAGGGAGGCTGTGTCTACACTCGAATTTCTGTTTACACAGTTTATAAAATAATCATGTGTAAATTAATTAATGCTGACGGTGATTAGCTCTAAATGACATTCAGCTGCTGCAGCTGACGTTGACTTAAGCAACATTGCTTAATTGCGTTTCTTTTTTTTTCTCTTTAGTTTGTCTTCTAAATGTCCCACTTGTCTCAACTTGCAACTCTGGGACAAGACAAACAGATTAAAGAAGCAGAGTCTGAGTTGAGTTATTGCTAAATACTCAAGGATCTGATTCAGACTGGATCTGATTGGTGAAAACTGCAGCATAAAGAACTGTATCAACTGCAGTTGTATCAACCGTATCATCTTATTGCGGTTTGGATCCGCAGCAATCTATTTTTAGATTTTTTTCCTAAAAAATATAAACGTGTTTTTTAGATATTTATTGAAACTGTCACTACATGATGACAGCAAGAGACACGTAACCTGTGAAAAGAAAATTGAGCTCCTCTGCCTCTGCACTAGCACTGCAGCAAGTGCAGAGAACCTGCTGTAGTGCAGCTAGTTCTTGACTAGTGGTAGGGTCTGAGAAGCGTGTACCTGAAACTGATTGACAGCGCTAACCACCTCCTGTCTCTGATTGGTTGTTTCTGACCAGGAGCAGTAAATTTCTGCAGAAGCAAGCAGGACCACAGGGCGGAGTCGGAGGAGCTCATACTATATCGTCTCAATATGGTGACAGTTTGAACAAATTTGCAAAAATCATATTGTTTATTAAAGTTAGATACTCCAGCTTTGTAACTGTCTTCCCACATTTCTTCCATTTTATTTACAGTTTAGTCTGTTAGAAGTGACAAGGGAGCTAAAGCCTACTCCAGCAGTGCCAGAAGTTGCACCTCAAGCTCTTTCAAAACAGTAACATTTTAAAATCAACATCAGATCCTAGTAAGAGTTGAGTTTTGGACAGAACAGGTTACCTTGCAGGTACCCAGAACACCAGGCATGCTGTTGCAGTCTCTCAGGGTGAACTTGACCTCGATGTAGATCCTCCTGGCTCCTTCTCGAGGGATCCAGCCAGACCTCAGCCAGTTGTTCTGACTGGGGCTCATCACGTTACACACCTAATGCAGAGGACAACGCCACTGTAAGATCACTACCAAAGGCAACATTACATGTGGAAACCTATTGGAAAAAATGATCCCTTGAGGGATAATTCAGGATGTATGAAGTGACATTTTGTTAAAAGTTTGTGAGCAGTTGACATCGTAACTACTGTAGATGCTGCTCTTGACTCTTTGGTACCGAAATAAGTTGTCCTCTTATCACAGCAACTTATCGTCACCTTCCGAATTTTTTGACAAAAAAAAAAAAGATTTGGCAAAAAAGTTTGTTTTAGAAAGGGGACAATGTTGAAGTTGTCAAGAAATGTATCGGTTATTATTTCCAACCCAAACACAAGCTCTGAGCGCCGTGCAGAACACACCTGGTATGTGTGAATCGGCGTAAAATACTCGTCCATCTCGTTAATGGCATCCCACTGCAAAAATAAAAAGGAAAGAGAAAACAACATGACCGTTTCTCTGATTCACATTATGCAATAAATCATGCAACAGGGATTCATATTTCCCCACACTGATTCTCATGCATCATTCTAAATCATGACTGCATTGTTTTTTGTTTTTTTTTTTTCCACTCACAGTCCCAGGATGGCAGCCTCAATAAAAAATGGGCTTTTTAACCCTCCTGTTGTCCTCGGCTTATGTCGACCGAGGACAAGCCCTTAAAAAATATGTTTTTCAATTGCAGCTGCATACAGAAACTTTAATCTAACAGTCCTGCATCAGAACTATGGTGTGCACAACTCAGGGGGAAGTTTAGGCTCAAGCAATCCAAATGTGAACTTTACAAAAGAAATAAAAATAACCAAACCCAGGCCTCAGGTCAGACTGACCGGAAGACTAAGGAAATCACAGCTGGACAGGCAAACAGTATGGAATGGCATCACTGATCTCCGTTAAAAACTGATATCTTTTCAAATTTCCCCCCCCTCCTGTTGCCCTCGGGTTGACATGACCCGAGGACAAGCCCTTATAAAACATTTTTTTAATTGCAACTGCATACAGAAACTTGAAATCTAACAGTCCTGAATCAGACCTACAGTGTTCACAACTCAGATGGAATTTTCTGCTGCAGCAATTCAATGTGAACTTGACGAAAAATAAGAACAACCTCCTCTTGTCTTCGGTCAAAATGACCCGAAGACAAGAGGAGGGTTAAAATATGCAGTTGAATTCCTGGTTGGAGCTCAGGAAAACTAGACTGAGGACATGCAGTCGCTTGTTCTACATTTTATAAGTGTTGAAATTCACTTAATGCTATTCCAGCAGGACACATTTCCCTTTAATTTGATGGCCCTGGTGTAGGTGATTAGATTTCTATTGTTTACCGAATGCTTCTGGTGGACGCTAATTCAATTATCTCACTGTATCACCGTGCTAATATGTATGTCACACCACATAGGAAATATTGAACAAGAAACCACAAGGAATCAGAAGCTTGGATCGTCTTTATGTCAGGGTAAAAGTTATGATTTTTTTAGTGTAAAATTATAACACATGATTCATTTATTGTTGCAGATTTAGGCGCACCGTTGGATTTTATTAAATGATTGAAAATAAACAGTCACCAGCTTTGCTAAAAATTGACATGTTAATCCAAAGCTCACAAACAATAGAAAGTTAAATTTATAGAACATATCCACGTGTTTAAGCTTACTGTCTGGTTGCAGTTAATGTGTGATATTTGCAGATAGATTTAATTGAGCTGTTTTTATTCTCGTAAGAAAATGTCTTGGATTTGTGCTGACAGATTAGAAGTGAAAACTGTTTACATGTTAAAACTTTGTCTAACATTCAGCTACAGTGTGTGAACTCATTTTATATAACACAGCATCACTGGCAGTTAGTTACAATTAAAGTTATGCTTCCCTTCCTTAATTATTAAATGAAAGAAAAGCAAAAACCTGAAAATGTTTTAGCGTTGGTGTGCTTTTAAATGCTCTCTGGCTTTATGGGTAAATACAAACAAAAAGAACACACGAGTGTTAGATTTTACAACCACTAAAAATCTTAAACAACTCCATTTCTGTTTACATTTTGTGAAGAAGAAGAAAGTTGCGCTCAGTGTCTTCTTTGGAGGTTTCTGTGTTTGTTTTTCCATCAGGTTCCAGGTGCAGCGAGGAGGAGAACATGTTTTTTAAAAGTTTGGTTAATTTCACACAGTGCAAAAAGAGAACCACACCGGCTGAAAATGTTACAAATTGAATGTAAATTTGTCCCCCACTTTGGATGACCGGGTGTGAAAACGCCCGACATGAATGTTTGGTAGTGTACCAAGAGCTTCCCTCTCTCATGAGGTTGGAGGATTTCCCTCCATTTTAAGATTATTAATGGTAAAACTATAATTGCTGGGGGTTATTCCAACAACTGTACCCTACGGCAAATATGTCTGGGGACTGTTCCTTTGGGTGTAGAAAAGAAACCTTTAATTCTGGCTCTCTACGTAGCTCTGTTAATTTTCTCTGCCTTATTCACTGGGATATGTAGAAATGATGGAGGACATCTCTGCTTGTTTAACCCTGGTGCTACAGATGACTCGCTTGGGTTTGAACAGCCTTTGTAAGGAAGGTGGAGTAATTGAAAGGGAAAGCCTAGACTCCTGGAAGCTGTGGGATGATCCCTGCTGAACTCAGCCTGGATGAGACGCTTGGGATTCTCCACAAAATCCCTCCACCCTCTCTAACCCCAAACCTCCTGGCCCCCAGGAGGCTGAGCCGAGACACTCACACAGCCTCTCAGGCACTACGAGCCAAAGACCACAGGGATAATTAAGGTGCAGGACTCATTTCAGCCTTTACTCTCGCCTCATCCTCTCATCTTTATCAGCTAAATTGAAACTGTCCTTGAACTTGTGAAGACCTTGGCTAATTAGTGGAGTGTATAACCTTCCTATCTCCCTCATTATACTGTCTTACCATCAATGTACTCACAACCAGTTTTTCAGCTTTCTTGCATCATTTAGTTTAACTCTGTTGATGGCCGAACTGGAGTTGTTCAGCGTTAAACAATACAGAAAACCCATGTATCCTTGTTCCCTAGAAACAAATGGCTAAAAAATGTGTTCAGAGCACAGCAGACCGAACTGAGTGTGTATTTTCCTGTCGGCTTGATAAAAATTTTTTTTATAATTTCTCACCAGGAAAAAACTAATGTGGAAGAATAAAACAACTCGCCCATGACATGAAGTTGAAAATATTACATCTATGTCAGAAATTTGGAATTATAAATGTCCTTAATGGGGCAGTACGTTGTATTTCCCAGCTACAAAGATAACTTTGTAGCACAATCTAGTAACTGCAATATCTGCAGTTGTTAAAAAAATAGGGATATTTTTCAAATATGACTTGAAAGAAATTTAAGGCCTTGAAATTGGACCTCTGCCTCTTTAAAATCTTTTTGGTTTTCATAAGAGTTCAATTGCAGATTCAAACGAGGCAAACAAGCAAGTGTTGGAAGAAAGCAAACTAAAGAGGGATGCTGTGAACGATCCAGAGGAGGCTTACTGGGCTGTCAACGTTAGCGTGTTATTGTTATTAACCAGAAAAGTTAATAACATTGATATTACATAATCTATTTTGACCTAAAGGCCTTTCCCCCACAGACATTAACTAGTTCGCAGAAGTCCATTATGGAGTCGACACATGGAGGGTCTAAAATCCTACTTATAGTTCTCCAGTCAATACTAGAACACACAAAAATGCACACAAATTACTAACGTTTTTTTCTGCTGTTGCAGACATTAAACAATCTCCCAGATAGGGAGATTGTTTTGTTGTTGATGTTACCTTTATAAAATAACTTGCAATTAATTAAGTTTTGGCAAAGTTCAATGTAAATTTCACAGGTGGCAGAGCTTTGTTGTCAGCAGCTGCTGAAAGTAACTAAAAAAAGTTACTTTTACTTTAACTTAGTTACTTTCCAAGTCAAGTAATCAGTAATCTAACTAACTTTTTTAAGGAGTAATCAGTAATCCGATTATAGTTACTTTTTCAAAGTAACTATGCCGTCACTGTTGGCCACAGAAGAAGAGGAACGATGAGTTCAAACCCCAGGACACCATCCCAACCATGAAGCATGTTGGTGGTGACATCATAGCTGGTGGTTTTCTGAGAAGGAGGCAACTAAAGCTGCATTGAGGAGAGGATGGATGAGGCCATGGATAAGCAGAATGTGGGCAACAAGCTCTTTTCCTCAGTAAGACCATAAAGCTGGGTTGTGGCTCCATGGGAAGCATTTCAAGGTTCTGGAGAAAAACAGTAAAAGCATCTCAGAGTTTGCTGCTCTGTTCTAATTCTTCTGTCACGGAAGCTGATTGGTTAAGCAGGCGTCCATGACATCACACTGCATTGCGTCTTTGCCGTCTTCTACCTCCCTCGCTGTTTTTTCTTTGCCCTTGTCTTACGCTAATCATGCAGAAGCAACAGTCTTGTATTCCCCCCCCGCTCCCCCTCTTATTTTTTTTTCACAAGGAGAAGCATCAAAGAGGAAGACAAAGCTGATGAACGGTGTCTTCTTTGAAAGATCTAATTTCAGATTAGTGAATGTGATGGGAGCTTCTTTGGAGCTTACAGGCAGAGGGAGAACAGGGACAGAAAACAGGGAGGAGGACGAAGAGAAAGTAACTAAAGGTGAAGCAAAATGGTTGTGGGGGTAATGCATGCACGTGTGTGTATGTCAAGGTGAGTTTGTTGGTGGCATTTCCAGGCTTGATGCTGCACTTTATGTAAAGTAACAGGTCTGCATATTAACTCTGTGGAAATATCAGGACCTGGCCAACACCTTTCTGGCTCTTACATTATCAGCTACACAACCAGAAAAGACTTAATAACTTTGCGTGTGGGTGTGTGTGTACAACCATGTCTGTCTGGGCTCTTTGACAGCGATAACCTTTCTGGAATGGAAGTGTTAATTGCACTGGTCTGGGATCAGTGGATGAGATGGTGTAATTGCTATCTATTCAAAAATGCTTTTTTTTTTACAGAACAGTGTCTGCATGTGATGGAAAAACGATGAAAATATTACAGTGAGTGGAATGGTTTTTACCCCCACCAGGAATGCTGGGACCACAAAGCAGGACGAAACAACAACAACAAAATAATAATAATAATAATAATAATAATAATAATAATAATAATAATAATAATAATAATAATAATAATAATAATAATAATCAAAGGCTATAAACAGAGGCAGTGAAAATTCAAGGGAATTTCTAGATAATTGAATAAGTTAGAAGAAAGACGATTCGTTGTCAGTGATTTTGATTGAAGCTGAACTGATTAAAATTGTTTTGATATACTGGAAACAGAACCATATTTGATCTAACGCTCAGTTAAATTAGCAAGTCACACAAAATCAGCCCCTTTAATAGGTCTCAGTCACGGCTTTTCAACATGCATGCCAAGAAAGATCAACTTGA